CTCATCGCCACCTCTTGACTGGGGAACTCTGGCATCGAAGGCGCGCGAGGAACCTGCCCCGCCCTGCAATGCATCCCGCCACTGCCCCCCATGGACCTGAGTCAGCGTGCCTCTAACGGGGACTCCACTAACAGGCACTTTGGCCAGTAACCCAGCGAACCCAATCCTCCCCGATGTGGGCAACGCTGCAGTGCCAGGAAGAGGCCCGAAAGTGGCAACTTCCGGCACATCTCCAGAGTACCCGTTAATGGATACCTGTTACGGTGCCGCTGACTGGGGAAAACACGGTGCACTGGAGGTCAGGGTGATACAGTCGGGGCGTTGACCTAAGGAACCCTAAATAAGGAACGAGGCCCCTTTTTTCCATTAGTTCAGCTTCGGTTTCCTATCGAGAACATGGGAAAATCTGAGGCAAGCTGTGAGACACTTAAGGAACGCGGAGCCCCTCCCCAACCAAAAGGGCTCCTTCTTCAGGGCCCCGACTGTCAACAAGGTGGCGGCCCAGGTCTGCAGGCAGAGGGAGCGACGAGAGAGGGCAGACGCACCACCCTCGGCATGCGCGCACGAAGGGAGGGAGTCTATGCGAAACGCCCGGGGCCGCGAGACAACGCGCCAAGGTATGGGGGGACGTGCTGTCCCAAACCTCCTGTGCTGTGGGTCCTCGTCTTGAGTTCGCAGCCTCGCTCGTCTCCCCTCCTCCTCCTGCTCATCCTCCTCCTCCTCCTCTTCCTCCTGCTCCTCCTCCACCTCCTCCTCCCCCTCATGCATCCGTTCTGTTTCAATGTCATCATTACAATCATCATTATAATCATCATCAGCAGTATTCTCATCATCATCATCATCATCATCATCATCATCATCATCATCATCATCATCATCATCATCATCAGCATCAGCATCAGCATCATCATCAGCATCATCAATACCATCGTCACAATCGTTTCGGAAAGCGCCCAACCACCAAACCCATTATCATATCATCAACAAAATAATAACGATGGTGATGATTGGCATCATCATCACGATCACCATAATCATCAACATCATCATCAACGTCATCGTCACCGCCATCGTCACCGCCATCGTCACCGCCATCGTCATCGTCACCGTCATCGCCATCGCCATCGTCATCACCATCGTCATCATCATCAGCATGATCATCCTCATCAGCATCATCCTCATCCATCATCGCCATCACCATCATCATCATCATCAGCAGCATCAGCATCGTCATCGTCATCATCATCATCATCGTCATCATCATCATCATCAGCAGCAGCATCATCATTACCATCACCATCGCAATATCATCAGCACCATCATCCTCATCCTCATCCTCATGCGCATCTTCATCACCATCACCATCATCAGCAGCATCATCACCAAGCGTTCGGAATACCCCTCACACGTATTGTCGCCTCATGAGGAGGTCCGCCGAAGGGTCCAGTGGCTGCGCCCGCATGATCACTCGGCCCGTTTCGGCGCACCCCTCACACGTTTCGGGGCCCTATAGAGAGCTCCGCCGAAGGCCCCAGTGTCTGCGTCCGCATGGTGCCTCGCCCCATTTCGGCGCATTCCTCACACGTCTCCCAGCCCCATAGGGACCTCTACCGAATGCCTCAGTGGCTGCGTCCGTATGGTGACTCGCTCTATTTCGGCGCACCCCTGACATGTGTCGTGGTCCCACAGGGAGGTCCACCGAAGGCCTCAGTGGCTGCGTCCTGATGGTGGCTCGCCCTATGTCGACGCACCCCTGACACGTTTCGTGAGCTCCATCGAGAGCTCCACCGAAGGCCCCAGTGTCCGCGTCCGCATGATAACTCGGCCCGTTTCGGCGCATCCCCTAACACGTTTCGGTGCCCTATAGGGTGCTCCACCGAAGGTCCCAATGGCTGCGTCCGCATGGTGACTCGCCCCGTGTCGGCGCACCCCATACACACTTTCCGTGGCCTCATAAGCAGCTCCGCCGAAGGCCTCAGTGGCTGCGTCCATATGGCCGCACCCCTAACATGTTTCGTGGCCCCACAGAGGACTCCACCGAAGGCCTTAGTGGCTGCTTCATATGGTGACTTGCAGAATCTCGACGCGCTCCTCACACGTGTCATGGGCCACATAGGAGCACCGCCGAAAGCCTCAGTGGCTACATCCGCATGGTGACTCGGGTATATATCGGCGTGCCCCTCACACGTTTCGTGGCCCCATAGGGAGCTCAATCGAAGGCTTTAGTGGCTGCGTCCGCATTTTGACGCGGGTGTTGATGAGCTCCACATAGCATTAAGCGATGTTCAGGGCAACATCGAAAACGAGGTATGGAAGGCCATAAGGGAGGCGGCCTTGCGATGGCGAAGATGGTATACTACGCGTCGGGGCGTAGCAGGTTGCTCGGGCGTATGGAAACTGACGAGCAGCGAAGGAGGTTTGGCGACCATGGGGAAACAGGATGGCATATGGAAACAGTTGTGCGGACGTGGGGGAGCTGGGAAGGCCCTGGGGAAAGTTGGGACGGAGACGAGGGAGCAGGGGAAGGCGTGGCGAGGGTGGGAGGAAGCTGAGGAGCCCACAAGGACACGGGGGAGACATCGGACTTCGCCAGACGGGCCCTGGAGCCCCCAGCCTGAGCCGGGCGGGCTCCGGAGCCCACAGGCCTCACCCTGGCATTGCTGAACAAACCCTGTAACCCTCCAATGAAGGGGCCCCAGGAGACACAAATAAATACACAATTTAAAAGATTCCCCCTATTTTCCAATATTTTCTGGGTTCTTGTCCCCCCCCCACTTCCCATATTTTCGTATATTTTATGGGGAGTCGACGATTAATTGTGTCTGTGTGTTTCTTTCCATCCTGATCCAACCTCTGCCGCGGGCGGGACCCGGACTCCACTTTGGCCGGACGGTCCCCAGACCCCCCAGCCTTAGCTTGACGAGCCTTTCAGCTCCCCGCCCTTAGCCGGACGGGCCCCCATTAGCGAAGCGCCGCGTTTCTTCTCTTACCCTGGACGTGCCCGAGGACCCCCTGACCTTCGCAGGACGGGCCCTAGAACCTAGAACCCCCCAGCGCCCTGCAGGAGCCGTCCGACCTTACCCAGAAGTGCCCCTGAGCTCCCCAGTCTTAGCTGGATGGGTCTATAAGAACCCCCCAGCCTTCGCCGGACGGGCCGCGAACCCTGCAGCCCTAGCAGGACGGGGGAGCCCCGCCAGCCTGGCCGGAGAGAGTCCAGAGTTCCCCAACCTTGGCCGAAAAGGCGGACCCTGCGCTTCCCCGGAGTTTTCCGGCTGTGGTCGGGGGCCCCTGAGCCCACCAGTCGTTCGCCCAACCTTCCCCACGGCCATTCAACTTCAACCATTCCCGTCCAGCTTCCCCATGTCAATATCGCCTCCCGCAACAATCCAAACCTTGCCTGAAATTTCCCATGTCCATCCAGCCCCTCCAATGACCGCCCAGCTTCCGCATGCCCCCGCGCCAATGCGCGGTCTCCGTTAAGGCGTTATGGCCATCCATCCTCCCCCACTTCGAAACACGCCAGACACTCCTAGCGAAGGCGCGTGTCCTTACTGGTCTGTAGATCTCATGAACTCGGGTCCACTCTGGCGCACTACTTACACTTTTCGTGGCCCTATAGTGAGCTCCGCCGAAGGCCTCAATGGCTACGTCCGCATGGTGACTTGCCCCGTGGCTGCGCCCGCATGGAGACTCGCCCCCCTGAGCCGGCCAGGGAATCTTGTGCTCGCAGCGCCGTCGCGCCAGCCCTCAGCGTGGATTTCGGCGCAGCGCGCTGGAATCACGAATCGTTCCTCAAATCATCCTTCCTCCTGCTTCCACTGACCCCGCCCTCGTGTTCTGCGGCGCATGCACTCTTGACTGCCATGGGTGACTTTTGTCGCCAAGGTGTGTGCCGAGCCAGGTCCGACGTTCTCCGGCAGAGGTTGTGTGCATCGGGCAGCCCTGTTGATAGTTCCCACGCGGTTCGCATTGATTAGATTCTTCTCCAGGGTAATGTTTCTTCCCTGGCTGGGCAGGGAACACCACAACATGGGCTCTCTGGTGCGGGGGCCGAGATGACGGCAAGCTGCAAAAACAGCGAGCCGCGGCGCTTGCCCAGAGATTAGAGGCTTGCGCACGGGGCGACAGCACCGCGACCGACCCGCAATGAGGAATGAGCTGGCCTCCTGAATGCAAGATCCTTTGGAGTTCTCCGCCCTCAATCCTGAGTACAAGAATACTAGTGGGGCCCAGACCCCACATTCCTGGGTTCCTCATGCCGGCTCGCAGCTTGTCGCATGGCTTCTTCGGGGCCAAGAGGGCCCCACTGGGCCCCTCAGACTGTCCAAGGGCGCCCCGAGTCGCCCACAGATCGCTCCAAGACGCCAACGACGGCCTTCAAACTGCCCAAGGAGCCCCAAGACAACCCAAGAGGGCTCCAGACGCTCTCCGACTAGGCCCAAAGAGGCCCAACTGCGTGTGTACCTTTTTTCTTTGTGCGTTTCAGGACTTCAGAATTCTCGGCGTGTCCGGCCTTCAGCGCTCCAACACGATCGCCCCCAGACGACCCAAAGAGGCCCTCGGGGGGACCCCCCGACGGCCCAAGATGGCAACACGAGGGCCACAGATTCCCACAGTGCGAGCTGCTACTCCCTCATGCCTCGTGCGGGCACGCGAAGCGCTCTCACCACTCCCCTCTTCTTCTTCCTGCATGACATGTTTCACTCCCTTCGAGTCCAAAAAAATAATATGGGATATGACACTTCCGTATCACAAGATGGCCGCTGCCGGCCGCCGCCGAATCGGACGAACGACATCGGGGGGCGGTGCAGGAGAGGGGCACAAGGCTGGGCACGACGATTATGACCCGACGGCGATGGCGACGGCGACGGCGACGGCGACGACGACCTCGACGACGACAGCGCGACGACGCCGACGAGTAAACGTCCGCAACAGGGGCCAACGCCAGGCACAAGGACGCACCGATAAGAGCAACGACGGCGACGCAAAAACCCTTCGGGGGAACATAATCATTGTGTCGCCGTCAAGGGCTGGATTCCGATTCCCGCCTTGGAGAGGAGGGAACGGGAAGGGACGGGCGGGGCCGATGCTGCTAATTACCGGTGCGCGCGAACCCGGGAGCGCTTCCTATTGGAGGTCGGCGGCTGGGCCAGAACCCTACTAGTTCCCATCTGTCCAACGGCGTCGTGGACCATGCGGCCGCCGCTTGGCGATACCCATTGTGATCTCGGGGCCTAAGATGTGCAGCTTTCGTGAGGGCGCCTGATCAGAGAGCTCACGAACCTGCAGAGACCGCAAACCCACACTGCTTAATTTGAGGTAGTCTGTACTGAGCAAGGGCAACGAACAGACAGGGAGGCCGAGGTCCGGGAGCCTCTCTAGCGGCCTCCAAGACGGAGTCCGAGCAGATGTGGTCGGAGGATCGCGCCGCACCGGCGACGCGTCAAACCCCTCAACCAGATGCACAACAAATGCACAGCAACAACAACAACATGCACGGCTGAATTATGGCGGAGGGGGCAGCCGCTCAGACTGACGACCAGGACCCACGAAACCCCTCACCCCGCCCCACTCACGCTCGCACACGCACGGACGCACGCACGCACGCACGCGCACGCACGCACGCACATATGCAGGCACACGCAAACACACACCAGACGCACAGCAGCAGCATGTCCCAGTCTTGGATGGCAGAAATCCGCCGACATTGTCGGCGCGTGTGAAGGGCTTGTCCGTTTCGAGTCGTCATCTTCGTCATTCGTTAGTCGTCGTCTCTACCGTCCCCATTCCCTGCGCCTCTCCGTTCCTTCGGCCCGTCGGCGCTCCTCTTTCCTTGGGTCCTTTTCCTCGAGCGCTGGGCCCGTCGCCGGCCCCCTCCCCACCCCTTCCCCAAGCCCTCCTCTTCAAGCGCGCTGACCAAAACGACATTGAGTAATTCCGCGCTTGGCTCGAGGAGAAGCCGTTTCCCTTTGACCCCTCCCCCGCCCGGGGGGGGGGTCCGGGGGGGGTCCGGGAAGGGTCCCAGAGGGGGTCCCTGGGCGGTCCCGGGGGGAGGCCCGGGTCAGATGCGACCCCTCCCGGAGGACCCTGGGCTCATAAAAAAAAACCAAGACAGGCCAAGAGTGCCCCAAGGGGCCCCCAAGACGGTCCAAGAGCGCCCCGAATCGCCAAACGATCTGTCCAACACGCCTTGGCGGCCTCCAGACAGCCCAAGAGCCCTGCAAGAGGCCTCGACAGGCCTCCAGGAACACTCCTCAAAAGGCCCCAACAGGAAACATGTCTGAATTCCCATTCGTTTCTGAAACATGTCGGCGTTCTCGCCTCTTCGGTTTCCCGACGCTCCGAGGGCCCAAGAGGCCCCCCAGATCGCTACAAGACGGCCCAAGAGTTCGCAAGGAGGGACCCAAAACGGCCCAAGACGCCCCAAGACGGCCCAAGACGCCTCCAAAACGGCCTAAGAGACCCCCCCCCAAGACGGCTCGAAGAGGGTTCCCAGGCGAGGGACCAGAACGGACATGTCGAGCCCTGGGCCTCGAGAGGCCCCCAGGAGGAACCAAGACGCCCCCATTTTTTTTTTTTTTTTTTTTTTTTTCATTAGGGGGGGCCACCCAAAGGCGCAGGCATGCTTTGCCATGCGACCCCGTTTGGTTAGGTGACTCGGCCTGTCGCCGAATCGCGGCCCCCCAGGCCAGGGGCCACGGCAAGTAGGCCCCCGCCCACCCGCCGCTCTGAGCGAACGGCGCGCCGGCCACTCCACCGGGCGCCCCATTCACCGAGCGGGTCCGCGCCTGCAACCAACCTGCGACGTTTTGGACCCAGAACACCCACTCGCAAGTCAGGAGCGCGACGCCGTCAGCCCCGACGAGAACCACCTCCTCGATGCACTGGCTCCAGCACTGCGAGGAGCGGTTTCCCTGTCTGTGGGTCCAAGACGAAGAGCAGCCTGTCTCTCCGATTCCTTTGGACTTGGCACCTGAGTTGCCCGGCGCGCTCTGCTGGGCCCGTCACGTGTCAGAGCCACGCGTGCCCCGCACTCGCGGCAAACCACGCAAGGGGCCGCACATCTGCGCCGCGCGCGGCCTGCTCGCGCCAGGCTCCTCGGGCGGTGGCCTCGCCAAAGCTGGCGCATCAGTCGCGGCCGCGTCGCCAGGCTCTGGCGAACGCGGCCGCACTTCTCTCCCGCGCACTGGCACTGCTGCCGCCAGCTGCGCGCGCCGCCCCGGCCACGGCAGCTGCCACCAGCGCCCCGCGGCAAGCGAGCAGGACCTGCCAGTCGGCCGCGCTGCACGCCGCAGCTCGCCACGGGCCTGCCCCGCACGGGCCTCGATCGAGTTGGCTACCTCGCTATCCGCCAACGGGCCTGCGACCCGCCGCGGCAGCGGCCTGCAGTCGCCCCCCCACAGTTTCCCGCTCATCGCCGCCGCGGGCGATGGCTCGCCGCAGCGCCCGCGCATCTGCCAACAACCCCGCTGCTCCACCGCGCGCAGCGCCAGGCTGAGC